CCACTTCATTTCAAATGGACAATTTAGTGGTATATCCATGCAATGGAATATTATTCAGCCATAAAAAGTAATGAGGTTCGGATACAGGCTACAGCCTAGATGAACTCTGAAAACAGTAAGCTAAGTGAAATAAACCAGACACAATACACAATGACAGAAAGAAGATCAGAGGCTATCAGGGGCCAAGGAGAAGTGGGGATGGTGGGTTATTGCTTAATGGGTAGAGTTTCTTGAAATAGATACTGGTGATGGTTACACAACATCACATAATGCCACTGAATTGAACACTTAAAAATGGTTAAAGTAGCCCCACAGGGGGACATTTTCTCACACACATACACACACACACACAGTGCAAAGCATAGAGGTAAACAGGTCGTCCACAGATGCTTTCATTGATATAAGAGGAAAGGATAGATGCAGATCCAGGTGAGTTTGTCAATGAAGCTGTGGAAACAGATAGTTCTGGATCATCTGCTGAAAGTGAAAGGGTCTTGGGGCTGGAATCCTATCTCTTCTATCAACTCGATACTCTTTTGCAGGTTTTGATGTTCCTGGTGACCTGGCTCTGTGTTTACCTAACCAACACATTCACGGATATGAACCGTCCACTTTAGTCAAGCCATTCTCCTCACTAGCCTAGGAGAACATCCAGCTCTCTCCCAATGCATGTTGCTAATCCTTTTTCTCTGTTCAGCCACATCCTCCCCATCTTCAAGGCCAGCTCAATAACCATTCCCACATGGAAGAGACTATCTCTTCCATAGTTTTCCTAGCTTCCAAATCATCCTCAGTGACTTCCCTGGCCTTGAACACCAAAAGCAAATAAAATGTTCTTCCCCATCAGAACTTACTTACCCACAGTAGTGTATTGATTACTGTTTTCCATTTGTTAGACTTTTGTAAGCTCCTTCTCTTAATCTTATTTATTGAGCAAGTACTAGTAGTCTTTTAAGTACCCAGCAAATGCTGCTGATTAGTGAATAATTAACAACAGTTGGTATTTATGTAGCCCACGCATTCCACAGTGCTTTCACACATATAATTATCACTGTTTACCATAGTATTTTAAATCCCCACAACAAACTTATTAATGAAATATTAGCCCCATTTTAATGAAAAAGAACCTGAGGTGTCAAAGAATCAAGTGACGCGTGCTAGTTCATATGCTAATAAATACTTAATAAAATAATTGCTTAATAAAAAATTAATAAGTAATTACAATCAATCTTGTGTATTAAAAAAAGTTTGCTACTATATTTCCAAATAAGAATAAACCTAGGAAAGGCTTTTCATATAGGAAATAACACATTTATTTTGTTATTTAGTCTTTTGTCACACAACCTGAGTCTATCTAGCCAAGTCATTTCACAAAACTATTTTCAACTTTAAAAACTTAACAAGTAATACGTATTTGTCATAGAAAAATGAGAAAGTCAGTCTGGTGGGAAAAGTCCATAATCCTACTATCTAAAGTCAACAACTACCAACAGATACCTCTTTACACATTTATCTCTATAGACCCTCTTTCTTTGAACAGAAAATGGGATTTTTGATAGACAGCTTTGTTAATAGGCTTTTTAACTTAATGGGGGGAATGAATATATTTGCATGTCAAATACATCTAGGTTCCCATTAATGACTGCATGACTTACAAGCTAATCCTCTATTTTTGTATGTTTAAGTTGGCTTACATTTTTTTCTATCATATAAAAAACTCTGTGATGAACACTTCCCTATATTCATGAGCTTGTCCAATTACTACTGCCTTAGGATGAATTCCTGGGAGTAGGAATTCCAGATCAATGGTAAGAAACTATTTTTGAAATGTTTGTGGTTTGGTTTTTTGTTTTATTTTGTTTTCCATGAAATAGAGGTGATAAAACAGATTTAGGGGGCATGCTAAGTTTTAGGTACTCTGTTGTACTCAAAATTTTTTTAAACCAGGTAAAACTCTGTTTTTTAAATATGTCCAAAGAATTTAAATAGGTGGTTTCAACATTCAAGCCCCTTCAAACTATAAAAACATATTGGTTGAAAAGCATAGAACTCTAACAGTGATTTGGAAGACAAGACGTATCCTAATTTCAATAACCTTTATTATTTTTTTAATCAAATGAGAAGTAAAAGCAGGAAAAAAAGAACCATTTGTAAAAACAATCTCCTCCAACTTTGAAAATTTTTATTTTTCTGATTCAAAAAATACATATTCATTATAGAAAATTTGGAAAATACATAGAATAAAGAAAATATGAATTTCCAAGAATCCAACAATACATAAGAGAGCCTTACAGTTTTACTACTTTCTACACAGGTGTGCTTTTTAACAATTTGCCATTTTCCTTTTCTTGCCCACCAGACGCCCCAGAAGAGAGGGGAAGACAGATCCTTGAGGGCCACGGCCTGTGACATCCACCACACCATTTCATCCTTACTGCAGGCCTCCCTTCTTGCTGAGCTGTGGCCTGGTTCCTTGCTTTCTCCCCAGATTGCTATATAAATGCACGACCCACCTGCCAAAGTGCTGAGGCTCCCGGGCCTGCAGAACTCCCAGCCGGGAGGACTCACAAAATCAACTTCCAGCTAGCTGCCTGCTTCATTTCCGAGCCAGGCTTCTCCCAAGTCACACCTTGAAGATTGATCTCAGCTGATCAACATCTGAAGCAGCAACTCATACTTCTTAAAAAGTATATAGTGCTGTAAAGTTTAGCGAGTTCTCTCACACACATTTAACCTCTGCAAAAGTCTTCTGAAATGGACAGAGCAGATATCCTTATTTAACAGAGAAGGAAACAAGGTGTAGAGGAGCCAGGTAGAGATCATGGCTAGTGAGTGGCAGAGCTTGGATTGGAAGCCATAACTTGACTCCAAGGTCAGAGCTCTTTACCTAGCCATTAAGCCATGCTTAAGTCTGACAACTAGATATTAAGAACCAGAAGGGTCTTCAATATATCACCTAATCTAATACCTGCTTAGTATTCACACATAAGGAAAATAAGTCCCAGAGAAGCTAGGTGATTGCCGAAAGTCACCAGCTTTCATGATGAAGAGGATCTAAAGGCACAGTCTTCAGACTCCCAGGCCAGTGCTCACGCCAGTCGTCCCTAGAGAGATGTTCTTTAATAAGCTGGTCTCTCATCCGGTGTCTTCTTATTAGCCAAATGTCAACCAGGAATTAAAATCCTAAAAGTGTAGAATGTTAGAGCCAGAAGGAACCTTCAAGACCACCCAGGCCAACCCACTCATGTTCCAGATGAGGAATCGAAGATCCAGAGCCCATGGCTTCTGTCATTCAGTTCTATTTACTTTCCTTCCAACTCATCGTATCACTTCCCTTCTGAGTAGTTAAAAACAAAATCTGGCCAAAGATGTTTACTTCCTTCTTTGACACTCAGTGTGCCACAGGCCACAGATCAGCAAAGTCAAAGTGAAACTAAATGGGATTTGAATTCAAAAGATGCTTAGTTTGTAATAGATATACCCACCATGACTGTAGCACAAAATATCTCAGTTCTGGTGCGTTCTAAAGCAGCCGCCCCCACTCTCCACCCTTCACCTCCATAACCAGAGAAAAGGCCTGTTGAAATGTGTGTGTCTTAGGAAAGGTACCAACGACCCTTCGGAAGTCACCCATTACTTGAATCTGTGAAAATGTAGCAATACTGTTTGGCTAAAGACTTTTACTCCACAAATCAGCCAGGAATCCTGATTAAAACCGGCAGCACATCGCCAGGGCTGCCAGTTCCCTGACCCCAGTGGACCCAGACCCTGCTCTCACCATCTTTGTATCATCTGTGTATCATCCAGATCAGCTCCCGAAAGTATGCTACCTTGATTCTCCTGAAGCAGGTCCATGGTTCTATGGCTAGCCTTACTTCTCTAATGAGATGGAAAGCTCTTTGAGGGCAAGGCACTACTTCTTCCATTGCCCCTCGCTTCAAGAAACTTGAAGAAGGATAAACAAAACCATGTGTAAAACCAAGCGCAGTCACAGAGGTGTAACAGGAAGCCAAGGAGCCCAGAAGACGAGCATCTACTGATGGGGAGGGGTAGCTGCTGGGTAAGGTAACAGATCCGAGCCTTAAAGGGCTAGTGGAATCAGTCGGGCAAAGGTAGGCGGAAGGCAAGCCAGGCAGGCGGGCCAGCGTCAGCAAAAGCAAGGAGAGGAACAGTTCAACGTTGCCGGGGCATCCAGTGCAAGGCGGGGAGTGGCGGGAACTGGGGCTGTAGCGGTGGGCCCAGCTACGAGGCGGCAGGCAACAAGCCCGCGCAATTCGCGCTGACCTGTACCGGGAGGGCCGCTTACGCGATCCGCGAGTAGACGGATTTGGGCGCCCACTGCGAGGCTCTGTCAGTGACCGCCGGCGGTGGCCGCGCCAGCCCCCTCCCCCGTGCACCTGTGCGCCTTCGCAGCTGCCAAAGCAAACGCAGCGCTGCCTCAATCCGCTAGATTTTCAACGCGGGCCGCACGCCCCCCCGGCCACTGCTGCCTTGGGCCCCCCGCCCCCTGGCCCTCTCGTTTCTCCGCTCCGATTTAAAACGCCTGTTGACGCACTGTGGCGAGTGCCTGCGCGCTGGCGGGCGGCCCCGCCGTTTTCTCTGCAGTCGCCACCGGGGTTCCTGGAGAAGAATCCCTGCGGGCCTCCCGACCCCGGGCTGGGGAGGCTGGGGGCGGCCAAGGCTCTCTCGGCCCGGCTGGCCCGGGGCCTGGCGCGGCGGCCGGGCAGGGGCCGGTGCCATCTGGGGCTTGCGCAAGGCGCAGTGCCGAAATCCGTCCTCCCGGGAAGCGCAGCATGGAAACAAACAGGACGGGCCGCCCTCCGCTCCCGGCCCGCGGCCGGCCGGGCACCGGGGAGGGCGCGGGCTCCCCCGCAGCCGGGCTCGGGCCGGGGCCGGGGCCAGGACCCGGGCGGGCGCGGCGGCGGCGGGGCGCGGGGCGGAGCGGCTCGGGGCAGGGGCTCGCTCGGTCCGCGCGCCGGCGCCCAGGCCGTTGTCATTACCTGGCCAGTGTAGTTTTCCCCGAGCCCGGGAGGCCTCGCAGGAGGTAGAGATGTTTCCTAAAGCTGTGGCGGCGCGGAGGTGTCCCACGCGGGGGCGGCGGGGCCGGCGGACGAGGTTGCTGCTGCTGCTGGAGGCTCAGCCTCCCAAAGGATTCAAGAAAACTCTCCTCCATGGGGTGGGGGTTGGTTGCAAGAGCCCCGGGTTCCCTTTCCTGAAGTCACGGTCTTGGCCAAAGCTGTTGTTTTTGTGGCTCTCCGGCCATGTGATAGATGGAGGGGCGGGCGCTTGGAGCCCAGCCCCTCCTTCCCACCCGACAGAACCGCGCTGCGTGGGAGGGGGCGTCCCTACCTGAAAAGCTGGGGACGCTGGGAGACTGACAGCCCGGAAAACCTGAGCGGCGCGCTCCCCACTCTCCTCCACCCCCCCCCCCCCCCCCCCCCGCCCTGCTCTCTGACCCCCTCCGTTGCCTCTCGGTGCCCTTCGCCCTGTGGGGACAGGGCCTGCCTGCTGGGACACTGGGACACTTCCCCTGGGCCGCCCGCCGTGGAAGTCAGGCTCTCAGCAACAGCCCTCTTCCACCCCACCCCCGACTGGCCTAGACCTTGAAAGTGAAATAATTTTAGTCGACGATTAAAGAACGTGAACAGCATTTTGAATAGTTAACAATAAAGTCCATTGTCCTCCCCCTATTTGTGAGCACCAATATCTGGCTAGTGTCCCAGCTGCTAATACCACTGTCCCGGGGCCTGTATCATTTTTTTTATCCTTCTTTATCAGCCTGCCAAAAAACATTCTTAGAAAGCTTTGTTGCTTCAACATAACTTTAAATCTCTTCATCGGAAAAAGCACCCCTTAAAACTCAGATGTATCTATCGACGGTAGCATAAACTGGGTCTCATGGGAAGGAAGAACTAGATTGCCCAGGAACCCACTCTGCTGCCGCCTGAAAAGCCAGGGCCTCTCTGGACCGATTTCAGCTCCCCAGGGAAAAGAGCAGTCCACTGAAACCCTTTCTAGAGAAGTATCCAGAACTGAGTTCTAAGTTCCAGGAACTGGGGAGTGCCAGTTGGTTGATCACCACAGCGCTCTCCAGTATTTCACACTCAAAGAGTGTGACAGAGTGATCCTATTTTTTGAACCAAAATTCAAGATGCATGGACTGAAAGAGACAATATTAAAAATACCATGCTGGAAAAATCCAGGAGGTATAGTGGCTTTGGCTGTAATAATTATTGGAGAGGAAATACATTTTGCTTCTGGCAGCTAAGGTATGAAAAATTTGTAAAAGGAATTGTGAAGAAAAGCAATTTTATTCTTAAACAAAATCCAGAGATTTCACAAGACACTTTGGAAGGAAAGCCCAAGTAGGGAGGGGCTCTTTGCTGAGAATCCAACCTAGGGATTCCTCTGGATGGGTGGGGGAAGGCAGATGAGCTGTTCTTCCTTGAAAATCCCTTCCTAGAATCAGAGGTAGGATCTTGGCACTGCTGAGAAACATTAGAATTTCAAAACCTTCTCTAAATATTAGGGGGAAACCATACGGGAACAGAGAACACACATGACTCATAAAAAGAGTGATGCTTTAATGTATGTATCCCTTACTTCTATGTATTCTATCATACTTCTCATGAGAGTGTTTGTGCCCAGCCTCAAATACTACCTTTTTCATTCTAGACTTGCACCATCCAAAACAGGAACCACCAGCCACGTGGGGCTATTGAGTATTTGAAATGTAACTAGTACAAACTGAGATTAAAATACACACTGAAATTTGAAGGTGCAGTATGAAAAAAATGTAAAATATCTCAGTAATTTTTATATTGATTATGTGTTGAAATGATAATATGTTGGATGCGTTGAGTTAATATATTAAGTTAACCTCATTTGTTTTTTGTTGTTTTTTTTTTTGCTTTTTTAATGTGGCTAATAGAAAAGTTTAAATGACACATGTGGCTGGTGTACTCTTAGTGCTGCACGAGACCTCCATCCACTTCTATGTCCTCCTACAAAGGGGGGCCCAGGCAATGTGGGATGGGGCACAGGAGGACAAACAGCTTTGGGGTCTAGAGGCTTTGGCACATGGAATCTGCAGTGTCTGTGGCAGATGGAACTACCTAGTAGATGCTGGGAAATATGAGTGTGTTGCTCAGAAGAAAAGTCTGAGCTAGAGATGGAGCTTTGGAAATCCTTGGCCTATGCAAAGAATACAGAAGATAGAGCAGACCCAGGAGGGGGCCCAGGAGACACTAGCATTTGAGGCCCGTGTCTTTGAAGGGGGTCTCCTAAGGGAGAGTGTGAGAGAATGGGCAGCAAAGCAGACCGAACTCTAAGGTAGAGAGAGGTGTACGGAGGCCCAGGGAGAAAGAGCTTCAGGAGGAGAAAATGGCCAGCAGTGGAATGACCTTAGATCCTTGTCCTTTCTCTCAACCCCCACATTTCAGTAGTCAACAAGTTCTGGCTGTTCTCTCTGATTTATTCCTCAAAACCACACTGTTTATCTGTGTATCTGTTTCCTCCCACTAGACTGTAAGTGGAAACGATGTCACCCTTGTCACCCCAAGATTTAACAACATAGCCTGAACAACATAGTTCTGAATGTCAATTCAGAAGACGCTTAGTAATTGTAATGTGGACCTAAACCACTTTCTACATAGTTAAGTGGGAGCTTGGGATTTCCTAACTATTAAGAATGAACAAGATAGCAATAATGTCAGCTAAGGGGTGAACAGTCAGTAAACATATTGACAGATGTGAGACCCAGTTTGCTGTCAGCCTGCATTCAGACTTTCCTGGTTCTGTCTAGGTGCAGCCTCCAGAGAGAGGGGCTGCCCCAAAGTCAGAGGACCCCTGTGATAGAACTCCTTAGTGCCCTCATCTCATCCAACCAACTTTTCAGCTCTGGGGTTTTGTTCCATCTCTCATTTATGTGATGACCAGCACAATCCCACTTTGCTGCACTAGAAACCATTACCATGACAGATGTAAAGAAAATTATAGGTCGTTTTCAGCAAGTGAAGATACACTCAAATGTTCCTCTAATTGCTACTGGTTAAAAGACATGGAAAAAGGAGGAGGTACACAAGAAGAACACACAGTAGAACCGTTTAAAATATGCAGGCAGTAGCATTCCCAGTTCTCTCTCCTGTCTCTTCTTTCCCTACCAAAATTTTTCTAATTGTTTTTAATCAAAAACATATTATTAGTCTTATCTCCATGTATATGTCTCTTGTCACATAAGTGGTTTGCATGGACAGGACAGGAAAGAAGTCTGTTTGCGGGCTTAACTGTTTCCGTGGTGGACTCCTGATTTCCGGCACCTCCAGCTTGCACCTGCTGTCACATTTCTGCACAATTTGACCAGTCGGAGGGAGGACCTCGCCCTCCTCTCTAGTTACACTGCGCCCTCCTGGCTCTTCTCTTATCCTTCCCCCTGAAGCCACTTGGAGGCTGCAAGGAAGCTAGAAGTTCCGGGAAGGAGGACAAAGGGAAGAGAAGCAATGTGACATATGTATTCCACTTGGCTGACGTGACAGAGGAAATGCACGGGACTCTGGTGGCTTGGGAGAGGCCTGCCGTGCAGAATGTTCTCTGGACGAGCCTGATTTTGCTCCCTGTACCCCACCTGCTTCTACCTCCCACACTCCACCCTTTACTCTCTTTAGTGCCTCACCTTTCCCCCAAGGGGAAGACCATATCTTCTTTTCCACAGCACCTATGTGCCACTGTGCAAAAGGCCACTTGAGGATTATAAGCTTTGAGGAGGAAGCCTGGGAGCAGAACAGAGCAGCCTCTGCCCATTTTTCTACAGCTCTATTCTGGAAACTGGGGCAAGAGGATAAAGACAGGGCCTGGGAAGCTGGGGACATTCTGGAACCCAAGTACAAGCCTGAGTGGATAGGACCCAGCAGGTTTGCACCAACTGAGCAAAGGCATTTCAGAACTGATCACTATTCATGCTACACTCATTGTTAAAATATTTTTGGAATTGTTTTAATGTTTATTTATTTTTGAGAAAGAGAAAGACAGAGTGTGAGCAGGGGAGGCCGAGCAGGGGAGACACCAAATCTGAAGCAGGATCCAGGCTCTGAGCTGTCAGCACAGAGCCTGATGTCAGGCTCGATCGAACTCACAAACTGTAAGATCATGACTTGAGCTCAAGTCGGACGCTTAACTGACTGAGCCACCCAGGTGCCCCTCTCATATTATTATCTCATAACATTTGTAAGAATACCCTTGGATAAGGCATGGCAGTGTGATTCTAATGTATTTGTTAGAAATCAATAAATGGGGGCACCTGGGTGGCTTAGTCGGTTAAGCGTCCGACTTTCGCTTAGGTCATGATCTCACGGTTCGTGGGTTCGAGCCCCGCGTCGGGCTCTGTGCTGACTGCCAGCTCGGAGCCTGCAGCCTGTTTCAGTCTGTGACTCCCTCTCTCTCTGACCCTCCCCTGCTCGCACTGTCTCTCTCTCTCTCCTAGAAATAAATAAAATATTTAAAAAAAAAAAAAGAGGATAAAATGAAGGTACATACTTAAAGAAATTGAAAACTATATATCCAACAAAGGACTACTATATGTAGTTCATATTAAAAATTTTTTCAAAATTCAACAAGTAAAAAAATATCCAATTAGAGANCCTCTCTCTGACCCTCCCCTGTTCACACTGTCTCTCTCTATCCTAGAAATAAATAAAAATATTAAAAAAAAAAAAGAAATCAATAAATGTCTCTGGCGAAGGCCTCTAAGGAAGCAAGGATTTGCCAGAGGCCAGAGTAGCTGTAGCTCTCTGGGCTTCGACCCTATTACTGGTCAGCTCTTCCCTAAAACCTTCCCATGCTGGGCACAGGCAAGTCCAGTTTCACAATGGCTCAGAGAGTAAGATTCTTAAGGGGTTCAAGCAAACACTGAAGACCCTGGTCTCTGTCTGGAACAGACCCACTGCCTAGTAGAAAGAGAAACTAAAACTGTATGAAAGAAGTGTAAGAAAAAGTATAGCTATTTTAAATAAAGCACTTAATTTCCAATAACTATGGCAGATGGAGCACAAATATTTAACTTCCACTCCCTCCTTGAAACTCCACTAAAATGTAAAAGCGCTTTTTTTTTGGGGGGGGGGAGTTAGTTTGCTATTATTTTTAAGCATAAACTATAGGAAAAAAAGATAGGATATCATAGTAACAAAAATTTAAAAACTAGAAAGCAAAGACCAAGTGTTAATTTGGCAAAAACAAACAAACAAACAAAAAACCCAAAACTCAAAAAAGTCCCTTGAATTATAGAAAGACATGAGTCAACACAATTTACCCTACATAACTCCTAAAATTTCAGGCACTAGAAGAT